AAAGTGGTAACAGACAAAAAAAAAAATAAACAAATAAAAAAAAAAAGCCAGCACAGTGGGGGCGTGGCATAGTTGGGTCCAGTATATATTTAATCTGACAGTGATTAAAATCACTATCATAAGAAACGCTTCGATGCAAATCTGTAGATAGTGTTTAATTCTAAGAAATTGGTAGATAATTACAAAAACAACATCAACTTCTATTTCCTTAATTATATCCAGATTAGTAATTCTGTTACTTATATATTATATAATTTATATAATTAATTGTTTTCAAATTATTATCGATTTTTAATGTTAAAAGTAATAATTTTTAACCTACTTTTTTTTGTGCTTTAAAGTGAAAGTTTATAATAATAAAAAAAAAAAATAATTAATTACCATAACTTTTAGCTCAATTTGCAAGAAGTTTGATACTGACATCATTAAATAGAAAAAATGGTATTGTTAAGATTAATATGCAACCAGGACATTTTATAATTACTATTTAAAGTAAATTTTTTATTTTATCCATTGTTAAATTCAGGTGAAACTAAAAATAATTTTTTATTTAGATTTATGATTTATATAGCAACATGTTACGAAAAAATTTGAAATGTTGTAGACTGGTAGTAGGCCAGTGAACGAAGGAAAAATGGCGGAAAAAATTCCCAACCAAATTTTTTTTTAAAGTTGAATTAAGATATGTATAATGACATACTAAAAGTCCTCATCGATTGGACTTGAGCTTTTTTTTTTACAGCCTCGCAAAAGTTCAAAAATATGAGCTTTTTTAATTTTCTCAAAAAATATTTAACTGACAAAAAAAAGTTTCGTACAAAAGTTATTTAAAAAATAATTTTAAACAAAAAAGGTATCCTATATTTTTTCATTTAAACAAATATTTTTCGAGTTACATTACATTTAATATGAGTACTAAAATTTATTTTCCAATTTTTTTCATTTTACGGTTACTTTTTATCATGTTATACTTACATTAGACACAATTTTATAAATGCATATGTATGTATGTGTGAGTTTATTTATTTATAGTATCATTAAAGTGTAGTGTATATTAAGATACAACCGATAGAGTAATTAATTGATTTGACGCTATATTGTTTAAACCCGACTAAACGCTAAATTGTATATTCCCAAACAACAATTATATTATGTCAATTGCCACCGGAATTTCTGATAATCTTTTTCTTTTTCTTTGCCTTAATCCCAACTACTTGGGGTCGGCCACCTTCATCCTAAACTTCCACTTGACACGATCTCACACATCTTTTACGCTCACATCAACTGTCCTCAAATCGCATTCAATAGCATCCCTCCAATTCTTTTTTGGTCTTCCTCTACCTCTTCTTCCTTCAACATTAATTTCTATAACTGTTCTTACAGCTTCTGATTTTCCTCTCCTCATAACATAATCAAACCATCCAAGTCTATTTTCTCTCATCTTATACACGATTGACGCTACACTTACACTCCCTCTTATATGCTCGTTCCTTATTCTATCTTTTCTAGTCACTCCACTCATCCAACTAAGCATTTTCATCTCTGCTACACTCATTCTCTGCTCTACTTTCTTATCAATCGCTCAATATTCTGAACCATACATCATAACTAGCCTCACTACATTGTTGTAGAATTTACCTTTTAGCCTCATTGGAAATCTTTTATCGCATAAGACACCAGACGCTTCTCTCTACTTCAACCACCCACACTTAATCCTGTGTCTTACATTCTCGTCAATACCATCGCTATTTTGCACTATTGATCATAAATACTTAAAACTTTCTACCTCTCCATTCACACTCTCGCCTATTGTCACTGATCTCCTCATTTCACCTACCTCATGTTCTCTTTTGTCAACCCAACCAGAATTTCTGGTAATGATAAAATTAATTGTCATAAAGTGTCTAAAATTGGTCTTGTTCTAGTAAACTCAATGGTGGATAATAACTTTCATGATATAAATCTTAAAAGGTCAAATAAAGTTATAACTGTGTCTTAAATAACTTCTATTGTTAAAATCAATAATGAAATAATTAAAGTAAACCCACTGCTACTATTTCAACTAATCTCTATTTAAAAAAAAAAATCAGCAGTGTCCCGGCACAGTGTGTATAATTGGGTGAAGTATAGATGATATGTGACAGTGATTAAAATCATTATCAAAAAACAATGCCTTGATGCAAATCTGTAGATAGTGTTTAATTTAAAAATTTTAATGGATTATTACAAAAGCTACATGATCTCCTATTTCCTTATTTATATCCTAAACACAAGTTATATGAATTACTAGTGCAAAGTATGTAATCGATGGAGGATTTCTCCACTATAAAGTTATTTGACAAATGTATCAAACAAAATTTTTTTCCATTTTCTTATTCATCTTCCCATTCTAAATTTTGACAGAATATATCTTCAACAAAAGTAAAATTTTCTTAATCTTCAATCTTTATTTCTATTGAATTTGTACACCATTGACCTTTGCAATGTTCACATATAATAGAACATTTAAACCTTGTTTTTGCAGCCACAATTTTTACCACCTCCAGCACCAGACTAAAGGCCGTTTTATGACAATTATCTTTATTATTAGCAGAAATTCCGGTGGCAATTGACATAATATAATTGTTGTTTGGGAATGTACAATTTAGCGTTTAGTCGGGTTTAAACAATATAGCGTCAAATCAATTAATTACTCTATCGGTTGTATCTTAATATACACTACACTTTAATGATACTATAAATAAATAAACTCACACATACATACATATGCATTTATAACATTGTGTCTAATGTAAGTATAACATGATAAAAAGTAACCGTAAAATGAAAAAAATTGGAAAATAAATTTTAGTACTCATATTAAATGTAATGTAACTCGAAAAATATTTGTTTAAATGAAAAAATATAGGATACCTTTTTTGTTTAAAATTATTTTTTAAATAACTTTTGTACGAAATTTTTTTTTGTCAGTTAAATATTTTTTGAGAAAATTAAAAAAGCTCATATTTTTGAACTTTTGCGAGGCTGTAAAAAAAAAGCTCAAGTCCAATCGATGAGGACTTTTAGTATGTCATTATACATATCTTAATTCAACTTTAAAAAAAAAAAAAATTTGGTTGGGAATTTTTTCCGCCATTCGCCAAAATTACTCCTTCGTTGACTGGCCTATAGTAGCACACACAAAAAGAGTAAAAAAATTAATAAATTTAAAAGTAAAATTATATAATATCAAATCTAATTCGATAATATACTTTAAAAATATTAGAAATGAATGATTTTAATTGTTTGTATGGATAAAGCTGGTTAAGCTACTTGTTATTTGATTAAGGGATTTTTTTTCAATTTTTAAGGGTAATATCTTCAACTAAATACGAATTGTAATAATTTGAAATATCGTTGATAAAAGTAGGTCAAGTGAGGGTTGGCAAAATAAATCATAGCCACAAAAAAAACTACACAGTAAAATAATATTAACATGAATAAGAAATTTCTTCTCACGAGGGTAGACTATAGTGATGGTATCTTTGATATTTATTGAAGTTACTGAATCGAAATGAGATAAAAATCAAATGATTTGAAAATTGTTTTCTAACTCAAAAAAAATGCAAAATATTAATCGCCTCAGGCGGAATCGAACCTCGTAACCTAAGCGTGAAAGACACAAGTGTTACCGATACGGCAACTGTTCGTCGCGAGATAAAATGAGCAATTTAACCTAAATCAAATTTAAAAATTACTTTTTCGATTTTAAAAAAGCAAAAAAATTTAAATAAGTTTAATTTCTTGTGTCTTATAAATTTTATTCTATGTCAATTAAATTATATAATATTCATGAAAGTCAGTATATTGCCCTTATAAGATATTTTAAAATAAAATAACATATAAAACCTAGGATTTTAATACAAAAATAGCATATTTTTTAATACGGTATCCATTTGCGCATAGAAGATAGGTCGTCGGGACAAATTTTTTTTTTAATTTTTGAGTACATGACATAAGCTTTAATTTTATGTATGTTTAAAGGACGCAGTATTTCCGGAACACTTTCAAAAGTTCAGTTGAAAAAGTTAGTTTTTGTAAAAAAGTTACTTTTTTAAATCCCCCCTATGAGCAGGTTAAGTGTTAGATTTTCAAAAAAATGATATCAAATGAAAGGAAAATATCTAAGGTTTTAGTATAAAAAAAATGATGTTGATTTTTGAAAAATTTATTGAAATTTTAAGAAAAAAAAGTGAAAAAAATGACAAAATTTACTGATTTTTAAATTTGTAATTTTTTTGGAGATTTCCCCCATTTGCGGGGAACGAGGGAAAATTTTTTCTATTTTTAAGGGTAATTTCTTCAACTAGATACGATTTGTGATCTTTTGACATATCGTTGAAAGAAATTGGTCCAGTGAGAGCTGAGAAAAAGTTGAGACAGACATAAAAAAAAAAAAGCATATCATTGTAAAATTAATATCTTCTCAGCTTCGCATTAAAGCTAAAAGTATTTAGTGCTATATATATTTGTAAGAAATAAACTGTTAATTATTAAAAAATGTTGTATATATAATTTTAATTTATAGTAATTTAACTACATTTCAGTCATTTCATTAAAAGATTTTTTAAAACTTTATTAATATTAAAATAACCCTATAGATATTATTTACCTAATACATAATAATTTTACTTAAAAAAAGTGTCAACAGTTATCTTTTTTGATAAGGATGATTTCGGATTGGAGGCCGGTTCTGATATACAGGCGGTGGTCGATTATTTCTATTGTTGAAACCTCGATTTGCAGGTAAATGAGGTCTATACTGTTGATAAGATGGATCTGGATAATGTGTGCCATTTTCATTGTAATGTTGACCATCATTATAACTTTGAGAAACACTTCCATAGTTTGGTCCACCATAAGAACCATCTATATACTTTTGTCGGTTATCATCAAATGGTTCTTGAAATCCTCCATCTGTCATTTCATACTCATTATAAGTTTGAAGAGGAGGAGGAGGAGGAGGAGGTTGAGTAATATTTTGTCTTTGATTATAGCTTTCATTATAAGGTGGTCGTTGTGGAGCAGCTTCACCCATGTATGATATACCCATTGGAGGCATTGATTCGTGTGGTCGATAAGGTGATGGTGCTGTGTTCATCATATTTGAAGGTTGAGGTGGAAACATAGGATTCAGATATGGCTGTTGTGGATTTCCTGGCATAGGAGCATAAGGATACATTGGAGGAAAATTACCTGGTGGAATTGGTGGTGGTTGCATAGGAGGATGGGGTAAAGAAGTAACATTTTGTGGAACTATTATCATTTGGTTAGGATTTGGTGGTAAAGGTGGTTGAGATGGTGGTGGCGGTGGTCTTTCTGGTAATGGTGGCCTAGTAGATGGTAAAGGAGGATGTTTTTGAGTTGTCTGTTGTACAAGTAACTTTGGTGGAGTGGGTGGAGGTTGCAAAACTTGTTTTTGTATACTCTGAGTTTTTGTTGTGGCAACAGAATTTACTTGTGGTTTAGTTCCAGGTGGCACAGGCACAATTGATTTTATTGGTGTATTGCTAGTCTGTGATGCTAAAAGTTTAACATTTTTAGTCATTGCTGCTTGCATTGTTTGTTCAGATGTTAAGCCTAGAAATAATATAAAATATAAGAATAAGCTATTACATTATTTAAGAAAAAATTAATATTATAATACTTTATAGTTAATTCATTATCTCTGATCAATGAATAAAAATGAACAATAAAATACAACTACAATAATATCCAATTGCTTTTGAATGAAAATATTCAAGTAGTACTTCTTTTTGCAATAAATAAGATATAAAAATATTGTAGCAAGTTTTGAATCAAAATTAATATAGAAATTACAGATTTTAGAATAATTAAGTGTCACATAGAAATTAATCTAAATTAAACTAGTATCTAAGATATTTTACATGGAAAATTATATAAATAATTTAATATAACTTATGAATAATAATTGAAATTAATTCTAATTATTATATATATATTATAATTCTAAAGAATAAAATTTTAAGTAAATAATATTTACTGTATTTTACAGCCATTTTTTGTAGTAATAACTTTTGATAAATAGATTGCGGAGGTATAATTTTCTTAGGTACAATAAATTTATCTTGAGGTGGTGGAGATGGAAGTGATTTTTCAACTGGAGATGAGTAAAGATCAAGTACTTGATGACAGATATCTATAATAAAATGGAGTAAATTAAAATGTTTAATAATTTACAATGTACAAGATTTACCTTCTAATAAATCCATGTTCATGCCTTGTACAAACATATCCCACCAACGTAGATGATGTGGCATACGACCTTGCCAATCATTTAATTCAAATTTACTAAGTTTACATGCAAGGTATATTAATGAAACAGCAATAATTTCAGGTTCCCATTGTAAACAAAGAGTTGTACATAAACTAAAATTATTCATAAATTTAAAAATTAACCATAATCAAAAGCTAGTTTTTAAACAAAGCTAACTTTTTTCTGTAAAAAGAATTAACTTTTATATGAAATAGGAATTAAATTTCCTACAATTTATATTATAATAAATATTATTACCTGTCGTTTACAAAAGTCCATGCCATTTGAACCATTTTAGTCAGTTTTGCTTTATCTCCTAGGGTATATAAATAGAAAATATACATAAATAGTATAATTATATAGTTAATTAAAATTGTCTTTAATAAAAAAAAAAAGTTTAAAATTAACCTTTCAAGCATTTAGCATATTTCAACAAAAATTGATAAGGATGGTCAACTTGCAAATCAAATTTAATAGTCTGAAGTATGATACGTTCAAGAACCATTACTTCTTCCTACAATAACATAATAATAAAAATAAGAAGTAGAAAATATATTTATATATATGTATTTACTTTTTGTTAATAAATTTACCTGTGATTTAATTTTATCGGGTCAATCTCAATTTTAATTTTTAAGATTACTTGAAAGGCTCTATGAAAAAATAAGACCTCCAAATTTTTTCAGATTTTATTAAGATAATAATAACAACAATATACCAATATAATTAAATAATTTTTTTTATTATTATTTAACTTCATAACTTAATCACTATAAATAATAACAATGTATTCTTTCAATATAAGAAAAAATTTTGCTGGTTTAAAGTAGCTAAAAATTGAGATTGACACATTAAGTTCTAATAGAAATTTATTATTTACTTTAGGATCCAAACCAAGAGTTTCATATTTGACTTCTGGCAGTAGTGCTTTTGCTATCTTAATAATATCTTTACACTTTTTAGGAGTTTCTTCAACTTTACCAGCAAGGAACAAACAACAACATGCTGTAAGCTATAATATTTCAAAATTGAATGAAAATGTTTAAATGTAGCATAAATAACATAGGGTTAAAAAAGTTAATTCTTAAATATAAATATTAGTATAATTTATAAGTTATTATTGTTAATGTAATTAGCATGGCCACATTAGCACATTTGTCTTTTTGATGAAATAATTACTTGGTGATGTTAAAAATCCTTAATCGTTTGTAGGGTTATAAAAATTTTCTTTGTGTACAAGATGATTGATTGAGGATTAAAAAATGATATAATATATTATAATTTTTTCTTTTCAATAGTTATAAGTGTTCTATGTTCTATCATTTTCAAATAATGTTCAATCAAAACTAATTAAAAAGTTAAACACTTAAAAGTTTGTATATAATACTAATATATAGTCATACACAAACCATTTATATTCACCAAAATTGAATGTTTATGAATGAATTTGAAAGTGCCTACTCATAAAGTACTTATATCCAAGATTATTAATTTGGAAATTGAAAATCTTAACTATTCCTTATTTATCTTAAGTTCAAAGTGTTATAATCTTCCATTTATATATCATTTATTATGACAAATTTTGAGATCATTTATCTGTTCTAGCTTAGATAATCAATTTGAGCCTTTCACATTCCAAAACTTCCAGAGGATACAAATCTAGCCCAAATAAAATCTATTTTAACTCAACATACTAAGAAGTTTGGGGTCAACAAATTCTAACTATCACATCAAATGTTAGATCAGTTAATATAAAATTGAAAGTTTTAATAAAAAAAAAAATCTTCAAAAAAGTAAAAAGGGGTTTCAACATTTTTTATAGTTAAAAGGCATTAATAGTAAAAAAGTTGAATGTGTCATGACTTCTAAAAAATGTATTTAACTTACATATCGTGGAAAAGTATTAAAAGAATGATACATGTAAAAACGATGGAAGTACACAACACCAGTAGCCATGGTATTATACCCTAAATCCATTTTGGTTCCCGCATCAATGATAAAACGTGCACCTTCTTGTCGATATCGACATTCTAGTTCATATGGTATACCATCTTGAGCCGATGCTGTTCGATGTAATTCGTCCTTATCAAAATACCAAAACGCCATATTATAAGTAATTAATTTTTAAAACATTTAAATCATTTAACAATTAACTTTTCCATAAAACAGTCATTCTTGTAGATCCATGTTTATTTTTATGAAAACAGACGCAAAGAACGAATACACGAACAATCGTAATGGTTTTACGATGATGTCCGGCACTTCGTTATAATCCGGACATCGGATGGTTGTTATCAATCTAATAACAAAATTGTTATCATTAGAGATATAACATACAATTTGATTACATAAAGTATAATATGTGAATCTTAAAAATCCACGGGGATCCTCCTTAATTACCACGTTACAACACTAACTAAATAATTTAATATTCTGTTGTTTAAGTGAAAAAAATATTTCTCAAAAATTTCTTTATAAATTATGTATATAATTATATATACTTAAAAAATCTATTAACTAGAACAAAATTTCTTTAACAAATATATAAATTTAAACGAAATTTAATAATAGGATAAAACGTGAAATAAATCTTTAAAAATAAAAATACATAATAGAAACTATAGGCGTTTAAATTTTAAATGAAGTCCTAGAATTTGGGGTTCTAGAATCACTCCCTGTAGTTACACCACTAATGATCATCTTTTGTGTCACAAACAATTCAAGTGGATATTCCATTTTTTCCAACATTTCTTCACCAAAACATTTTTGATCATTTGTATGGTTGTGATTTTAACTCCTCATATCCATTAGTAAATCTCAAATTTCAATAAATTTCGGAAAAGTCACATTGAATTAGTGAACTTGAGCTCCACATCTTCAAATCTATCTAAAAATAGATATAATAGCGGATTATCAACAATTTTTGTAATGGGTTCAAAAAAAAATTATATAACATATAATGTACAATATTTAATATATAAAATAAATACGTCGATGTCTGAAAGGTTGATACTTAGTTGAAAGAGTTGTACTTAGATGACACTAAGGGTGTGATTACCTCAGGTGGCATTTTATAAAGAGAACCATTATTTCATATGATAAATCTTTTGTTAATGGATAATGTAAATAGGTTATAAAAAGTTATTAATANTATTTCATATGATAAATCTTTTGTTAATGGATAATGTAAATAGGTTATAAAAAGTTATTAATAATAATTCTAATTAGAGAATAAATAAAAAAAAAATAGAATTTATAAACTATGTTTTCTTTTATATTTATAAAAAAAATTTACTTTAAAAAAGTGTTTTAATTAATGTAGGGATGAAAAAATTGGACAACTCCCAAGTGGCTAATTTTAAATACATCTCTGACATTTCATTTATATACTGATAATCAGATAGATATTAATTTAGAAATAACCGATTATTGTTTTTTGGGGAACTGTAAATGGTTATTATCAAGAGGTTCCTACAAGTAAATTTTTGCAGACTTTTATCTTAATAATGAAATAATAATCATAAAAAAGGGTCTCATCAATTTATTCAACATAATCCCAAGGTGGATTTTTCCACCTTGGTGAGTTCTCACTATCGATTCTATCTAATTTTCATATAACCAATCTCCACCGTTCCCCTTAATCCAGATCTGCAGCAATGAAGTAGGCATAGTTACATAATTCAAGGGGTATGCTGTAACTCAATTATTCTTTAGAATGAACATTCATCTACATATTTCCAATATTACAATATGTGACATCCAACCGTTGCATGATGATTATTACGTTTGTTTTCCCAACGACTGACAGTCAATAGACCATAATATTTTTTTATTGTTCTTTTTTTTTAGTTACAAGATACGGTCCAACACAATTAACTGGAACGCGTTGCTTAAACCCCACTCAGTTCCGGAAACGGTCGCGGATCAGAATGAAAGTGTTTCTTCCTAATTAAATCAGCAGCATATAATAACTATTATAGTGGGAATGAAAGGGGAAAAACAAGATTTTTTAAACTAATGTTGATAATTTTCAGTTGATCAAAAAGTGCGATTATTGAATCACACGGTTTGTGTTGTGTTATAATTGTTTGTATGATACTTTTTTTAGATATATTTTCTATTGAAAGCTGAGTATTATTTATCAATAATACTAATACAGATTTCACACAAATAGTAGACTAAATTAAATTATCTGATAGCATTTCATTAACCCTATTACACATCATGATACCTACTCATAATTTAACGAAATTATTGTTAGTCATTGGAGTTCTGTTTATTCTTGCGTGTAGTGTAAGCTCACGATCATCAAATCCAAATAAAGGTAAAATAAACACTTTTAATTAAGTAATTTTTTTTATAAAGTTGTATATCAATTTATAAGAATACTAAATAATGAAACATTGTATTTGTTCAATTTTAAGTAATATTTTAATTAAATTTTCTTCAAGCAGTTTACTTCTTTTATAAACGTTCAACTAACAAATAATCTTGGGTGAATATATTATTTATATAAATGATTATTTATAATCATTTTTATGTTAGATGTTAACCACAAATAAAACAGTCTTCAAATATCTTGTTTATATTTCTGTGTAACTTTCTGCACTTATGAATTACTGGTTTCAAAACTTGAATCAACAATTTATTCAAGGTGAAAGTCAAATGTTAATGACATTGATTTAAAAACATAGGTAAACTTCGATTTTACTTTAATTATGATATATTTGTTGAATATAATAAATTCAGAAAGCCTATTTGTACTAGTATAAGTGAAATAGAAGAAGTTTTTTAATAGTTGACAATTAAGTAGATGTTCGCAAATAAATAAAATAAAAACGTAAAAATAAAAATGCAACTAGGCCTCTTAAAATCTCAAGTTTTAAATAATTTAATGAGTTATTTTACTAATGTGCTTAGATAATTATTTTTAAAAATAAACTAAAAAATTATTTTAATTTCACAAAACTTCAAATTTCTAATTTATACATCGTTTAAGGTGAAATTTAGTATTTTAGCGAGTATTAATTACCTAAAAAGTTCTTAAAAAAACTACTTAATTTCTCACGAAAAAAACCTAAGCAATTCACAGAATACAATAATTTTCATCTAACTCCATTTCTATTTCAAAAAAAAAATTATGATTTAATTTTTAAAATTCTTAAGTATTTTCAGACCCTTTTAAAAATGTTTTTATTTAATGAAATAAACATATATTGACGTTTTTACAATAGTGATAATAATAAAAAAATTATAATGAAATTGAATATAAAATTTTAAAAACAATTCCTTTTTAAGTACAAATCCTGAAAACACTGGTTTTATTAATTTATTATATTTAAAATTGATGTTATTTTCATTTGGATTAATTTTTTATTTAAGAAAAAGTAAATAAAAATCTATACTAACGTATAATCTAAACCTGAAGCCTTGAGTTTCTAAATATTAAAATATTTTTAAACTCCAATAAATATATGAAAAAAGGTTTTCAGATAATTCAATTATAATAGCTGTTTAGGACCATTGGGCTTCTAAAGAATATATTAGAATTATTCTAGTATATTATATCTTACATAAATTAATTAGGTAAGATATGTTTATGAATAAAATACACATACACATATGTATTTTTAAACAAAACATATCTGTAGTAATGCAAGTTTATCAGGGTCAAATTAAGAACTATATGGACCCTGGGGCGGTTCTTAAGATGTGTTTCTCAATGCAGCCCAGACAGGAAAATCAGAAAATATCGTAACCATTTTTATTTAAAAATATATGTTAGCAGACTAGTAAAATTCAAAACGGGTTCCAAAATACCACTCCTCCCTTAATCTGGTCCTGACATTTTTTAACTTGTTAAACACTCCTAACAATATTTAAAAAATTATATTCATGATCATATAAAAAATAACATTTTGCACTCTCAATTTTATTTTACAGATTTCACCTAAGGCGCATAATATACATATATTTTACTTATTAACAATGTTTGCTTATAATTTTTGTAAAATGACGTATTCTTTATTCTTAGCATTAAATTGATCATATCAGACCAAATTCTATGATAAAATTTTAAAAAATTTTAACAGACAGTCGACCCGTAAAAGAACCTAGTTCTTCAGAATTAGATTCTCTACCAGAAAATGAAAATCAAGAAGAATCATTGAATGACTTGCAATTAGGTAGTCAATCAGGACTTAAGCGTCGTCCCAATAGATGCCCTTTATGTGATTCCAGCGTATACAGTTATTGTTCTGACAAATTATTGCATGATGCTTGTTGTTGCTTGGATCCACAAGGTAAAAAAATATGTTATTGTGGTAAATTTTTACAAAGACAAAGCATAAAATAAATGAACAATTACAATTACTGTTTTTATGTTTGATAACATTTAATTAAAATGTAATGAAATTTTTGCTAAAAAAAATTAGTTTCACAATTTTACTCTTAATTAGTTGATAAAATGTTTTTTTTTATTTTTGATGTGTTAATAACATGTGTGACGGACTATCTTGTTTTGTTAAACAGAAAATAATATGGTAGGAATAGGGTGAATGTGCTCAACAATACCACAACTGCCCTCACTTGGATGTGAATCAAATGTGTTTTCATTGAATAAGTCGATAAGCTCTATCATTTTTTTGATTTTAATGTAAACATTAATGTTTAAAACTTGTAAGCAAGTAAATTTCGATTGACATAACCTTGACTATCTATTCTTGTTTTCTCCCTTTTAATAGGTATGATCAAGAGTAAGGTCAAGGTTATTTTACCTCTTTATATAATTATTTTTTTTTTAGAAAATAATATAATTCCTTATAATATATTATAAAAATTTCTTTTATTTAATATTAGGTAAATAACAGTAGACAAAATAATTAAATATATATTTGTATACATTAGATATTAAAAATTATATCTTCTGACTCTGTAGCTGGATTAAAAATTGAAATGAAATTTTATTATTATCCACAAACAACTAGATACCAATATTTGATTGTGTTAATTATATTTTCTCACCACCCAAAAAAGTATATATATATATAAGAATAATATATATATATTTTTTCATTTATATGCGGCTTTGTTGGCAACGTTACATGCAACTTAGTTAAGGCCAATAATATAAGCAGGGGCGTAGCGAAGTAATTTTTTTAAGAGGGCAACCTAATCCATTTTTTCTGACTTTAATATTTAATTTAGCTGACTATAATATTAAATAAGAGTATTTTTGACCGATGAGATAACTTTATCGACAATCGCCTTTTACCATTTTAGTTTTACCTATAAAAGTCGAGATATTTTTTCAACGCAAGTTACTGAAAATAGTTCAATATACAAAGGATAATAAACGGAGTTTTTTTCCTTTTAAAATATATTTTTATGTAACCTCAAATATAATTATTTGAAATGTTTGGTAAATATCTATAGAATTCCTCATTTACACTTATACTAAGGAACACGCAGTATGATTATTTTATTATATTTCACACAATATCTAAGTTTAATGTATAAAATTTTATAAAAATTTGGTCCTATCCCTTACTTCTTTAAAATAGTATCAGCTTTAGTTTTCATAACAGAAACTAGTTTACAAATAAAGAAATGATCTAACAAAGGAAATTATAAGTCGTTCACAACTTTTGAAATGTTACTAATACTTTATTATTAAGAAGACCGGAAGTGAAAAGCGGGTCTGTTTACTTTTATTTTTAGGCATTTATGATTCGCACCACTCCTCTCACTATATTATAAAATTGTTAATATCGTTTATTGATATTAATTTAACGAGGAGATATAGGAGATAGGACCAATATATTTATAGAACATAGAATACTGTTAACTTCTGAAAGAAAAAAATATAACATGTCATAATTTTTTAGTTATAACGTGAGTCATATTTGACTTGCATTAACAAAATATTTAAAAAAATTTTCTAATTAACATCAATATGGGTCTATCGAAATACGCTTAACTGAAGTACACGTCTAACATTAGTGAAAATATATTGCGTACCACCAACTGCATATCGATGAGAAATCATATATATAAATCCATATATTAGATGAATTTTATCTTTGATAATTTTTACTAAAAATACCCTGTCTAGTGTAATAGTCGATTTATGTACTTCGAAGAACAAAGAAAAACGACTGTTAATTATAAATCAATTAGACGTGTAAAAATTATTTGTTACAAGAATACTTGTGCATTTGACATATGTGACGTCAAGATACAATAAAATAAGTCTCGAGGGTTCGGTTTTCTTACATTGTCGGTTATTCGGTTGCGGCGGCGACACGTGTACCTGTCGACGGATTCTCGTGGAGGAGACGGACGTCGGTTTTTACCGTCGCGTCGTCTTGCCCAACACAAATTTTAATGGGCACTACATGATAAATGTAGTCGCTGCCGAAAAGCAAGTTTTGACCGCCACCTGCGACTCAACCGAAATACAGTGCCGATGGCTGTTTCGGAGAGTGTCACTACTTTTGGTAAACAGTGACGGCCGACGGCGGTAATCGAACATCGGACGTTCCATCAGTTCGTACAATTTATTCACATCGCATCTTATTAATATAAATATGCCAAAGTTTTGAATATTTCATGTAAATATTATTCAGAGATGAAGACAATTATTGAAACGTATAGACAGTCCAGTAGCTAGATTTTCATTTCATTGGGGTGGTGGTAAAAGAAAATTTTACCTCACCATACAATACTGTCAAGTTTTTAAATTTCTTACTATAATGTGATTTTGTGAGATTTTCGGCGTTTCTGATCCGATGGAAAACCTCTAAATAGGTGTTATGTATAAAAATTGCTTTATAAGAAAAATTCAATTCACTATCTGTAAGACCTAACTATGGCTATCCTTTTGTTAATATGAAAAAATTTAAATAATAAAAAAGTTCATTTCTTATTATCTTATTTAAGTAAATTATATAATTTATGAATTATAATGTAAAATAGTATTTTACATTAGTAGATCGACACATACAGACGACCCAAATTTGATAAGACACTGATTTCTTCAAATAATATGGAGTTATAAATGTTTGTAAAAAGAAAAATATTAACTTCAAAAAGCTCTACAGCAATATGTATTCAAATAAATTTTTTTTCATACCTTCAAATTTAAAAATTCTTTAAATTTTACTATCTTAAACGGGAACTCACATATTTAAATTGATAATATGATATAAATTAAAAAGTTACAAATAATTTAGTTCTTACAAGAATTGTAGAATTGTAAATTGTTCATCCATTATGGCATTTTAAATACATATCTACATTAGATAATTAAAATGCTATAGCGGATAAATGGTCGTCGAATGAAAAAATTGTTTGTAATAAATTTTTCAATTATATCATCAATTTAAGTATAGGTTCCCGTTTGAGAAAATACAATTAAATGTTTTTTAACTTTGAAGGCTGAAGATGAAAAAAAAGTATTAACTTAATATTATTTCTCTTTACAGAATTTTAAAAACCCTATAATATTTTAGGAAATAAGTGTCTTACCAAATTTTGATTACTCTGTATATGATGGGAGTGTATTTCGAAACTTTGAATCGCCAATTCATATTTCTGATGCCGAATTACACTATAATAACCAGAGTTTATCAATGAACAAATCCCTGTGAATTCTTCAGATGATTTTGCAAGACTTTTATTCAATTATTTATACATATTACATATTTATACGTATTTTTAAAGTAGTGCAGTAGAAATATAAAAAAAAATTCTTACAGATATTGTTGTCCTAAGAATTTTAGTTGTGCTATCAATACTTAAAAAATGTAATGATTTCGTCATGTCATTTAATTACATTGATCGCTCTGCATACTAAAATGCCACCTTTAACAATTTTTCCATTACCTAAAATAATCTATATTATTTAAAATATATCAATTATTATAATACTTTAATGGTATGTAATAATTGAAAAATATCATTGAGGATTAAAAAATTACAGACTTTTAATAACTGTAAATCGTTCTATAATGTGTCGAAAAATCCGTTTAAGTACATTTAAAATGCAATTTCAAGTTTTTTGACAACTATTGCATTTAATGTTTTTTTGTTGAGATTGTTATTGATTTAGTTTTGTAATCTGTATTTTTTTAATTATATAACACAAATAGTTAATTCATAGTTAATAATTGGTTATTTATAAAGATATGAATCATAGTAATACTTGGATTTTAATATCTGTAAGTATTCAATAGTAGTTTAAGCTTAATTAACGAATGTTTTATGAGACTTAAAGGGAAAAAACGATTACTGTTTTAAATTGAATGATTGGCACAAATAAACATACAATGTAGAAAAAGTATTTTAATATTTTTTTGTATTTGAATATTAAATTAATTTCTTTTAGATTAAATTATTTTAATTTAATTTTGTATTTGTCATGTTTTTAATTACAAAGAATTCTATATATTAATATACAAAGTATTGAATTTTATCTGTCAACGCTTATAACTTCTGAACTAATTAAAATTTCATGAATATATATATATATATATATATATATATATACATAAATTTAAATTTAAATAAATTTTGTTCTTTTAGACTACTTTCCGTGTAGGTATTTTCCACCCGGGTTTCGTATCTATTTTATATATTAAAATTCTTATAACTTAATAAGTACTTGTTCTAATATTATTAGAAAAATTGTTTGTAAGAAAAGTATTAAAAAATGGCATTCGAAGTTTTGGAGAAAAAAAATAAAAAATAATAAATTATCATTTTATTTTTTCTTATCATTGATAAAAATAATAAATTTAATTTTTTTTCCTTACGCTACCCTTTTTATTTACTTATATAAAGTAAACAATTGAAAACTAACGTAATTTCTATGTATAATAAAAATGTGTTCAAATCTCAATATTTTGAAATTTTTTCTATTCAATTTTTTTCTTTTAAATATATTTTCAGTACACTAATAATTTTGTTATACACAATGAAATTTTAATGTCTTATAGATATTTTTAAACCAATGACAGATAAAGTAATTCGATTTCACAAAAACTATTATTTGTTTAGCTATACACAGAAAAATTTTTTATTTGAGTATAAATTAAGTTAATAATAAAAATAATTTTTTATAGAAAGAAAATATAATATATTTTATCTAAACAACTTTTCAAGCCTAATTCAAGCTTATGATAAGAATTTTTTACAATGATATAAGCCCTAATTAGTAAAAACGTTTATTTACCTAGTAGCTATATATTGATAACTATTATTTTTGTACGTTAACAGGTATATTGGCGATTGAGAGACAGCTGTATAACCGTGTAATTTTATTTGCAACAAGAGTAGGTAGTATAATGTAACCAAAAAGTAAAATTAAAAAAATTATGAGAAAGCTTTATAAATATAGATTTAAAGTTAAACCTTTAGGTATTATAAATTCAATTAAGGTCCTAGAGCCTAAGGGTGTTAAAATCAATATTGCAAGTGTTTTATTTATTTATTATATAAAAATGTAAAAAAATTCGTAAAATTTAAATATTATGAGGATGAAATTGAAGTAGACACTAGATTCATAATACCTATGCCGAAAAAACACTTGACACTAGAAATATATTTTGTTATAAAATAGCCATATATAAATAGTTGATTAAGCCCCTACAAATTAGAAATTAGCCTCCCAAGCATTTTGACAATTTTTGCGCTGATCACAAATTTTAGTATTTATCTTATTTTTGTTTATCAACTACATTACAAACTCTTTCGTTTGAAAAGCGCAGAACATAATGCGAAAGGATAAATCGCTAACATTCTATTATTATGAAAGTACAATGGTAATCAAATTTGTATTCTTATGTTTAAATTAAATTTACATTTTTCTACTGAGATATTATTAAAAATGTTAGCTACTAAATGTAGTTCATATTAAAATAAGTAAGCAATAAACAATTAAACATTTGACAAACTAAAGAAAACTTAGTTTAACAAAAACCTATTTAATTATTTTTAATTTTATTACAGACTTACCAAATGAATGCCAATTTGCTGATTGCAGTTTTCTTCATTCAAATACGTGCAAAGAACACCGTCTTATAACTGCTTGCTGTTGTAACCAGTTCACAGCGCATAAAAAATAATTATTTTCTCAGATATGCTTCTAAATATTTTTTATATTTACTCTATTGCAACTGTTATTATTAACATAGCACTATTATTACACGATTTAGGGTTAAATACTATTTTATTATTTGGATGTTGAAACAGTTTCTAGACTTCCGATGTTTTTAATAACATTTGAATAAAAGAAATATATTTTATAATATTTATTAAAAATAATTTTTTTATATAAACGTTTTATTCGCACAATAATATTTATATAAATATATATATAGCGTGAACCAATATTCAAAATTTACTAGTTTATAAAATTCTCCCGTAATCCAAGACCAAATTTTAAACAAGATTACGTAGTATTTAAAATTTTAATGAGTGTAAAGAATTACTAGATGCATCAGATCGACTGCAAGTGTAAACATTTTATTAGATCAATAGGGTAGAGCCTATTACAAATAATAGGGATATAAGTTAAAGAAAAGATGATAAATTAAATGAAATTATGGTTTTAGTTATTATTGAGGTGGACATGATGCCCATGCACTCAGACCTGTTGGTCCATTGTGCGCAATTGAATCTTGTAATTTTCTTAAACTTGATTAATCAGTACTTTTAACAATTTTTAAGACGTCTTACAAATATAAATATTAAGTATTAAATTGTAATACCAAAATATTTAATATAAATTTATTCTACAATCCTATTAATTACCAAATGTTATTCTTATAATTACAAAACATTAATGACGTACACAAGAGAGTTGTTAAGTCTACAGCCACCTCAATATGATCGAGTTATATTCAATAATTACAATTAATAGTGTGTGACTTTGGTGTCAGTAACAGTAGGTTAGGTAAAAAAAAGCTTTTAGCGTACCGTGCTTGTTTTGACGTATCATAGAACAATATTAAAAAAGTAAAATCGAGTTATTTATAATATAAATAAAAAATGTATAACAAAACCCATCAGTTTCATATCAAAAATTAAATTTATGTTATTTAGTCATAAGAAATTAAATTTTTTTTTTTGTGTTAACAAGCACAGATAGTTAAGACTAAAAACTACATCACTTACCGAAAAATTTTAACAAATTAAAAAAAAGAATAAACAATAAATTTGAAATAGCTAATCAATTAATAATAATTATTTTGTACCAATAAAAATATATTTACTTAAAATTATAATTGAATACTATCTTTGATGACTATATTAAAGATGAATGAAGTTTTATTTTATAACAAGTAGTTAAATCAATTATATGTAATATAATACGTACTTTTTAGGTATGCATATAATTATTAATTTAAGTGTGAATATTTTTTAGAAAATTATTGAGATTACAGAAATTAGTTTTATATATACAAAATATAAATATTATTGAATTAAATTAATGTTATTTTAAACTATACTTATTTTCCGTGTACTTACTAAATATATACTAAAAAAACATTACGCAGTTAAGTAGTAGTTTACGTCCTAGAGATTATAATAAATAAGTAAAAGACAGGAAATTATGACAACTAAAAATTAAGTATTCGATGAAACACGTGGGACCTTGCTAATTTTTAACATTCTTGTGCCTACTTATAATGATTAATAGAAAATATGCAGATATAGAAAATTATAATTAAGCAACTTTATAAGTAGGGAATATTATAAAATATATCTAATAAATACTAAATGATATGAATTAGTTTCAATTTTTTTATTTGACATTATTTTTGTATATTTTTTATTTTTATTTAATATATTTAGCTAAATAGGATATCTAAGGTTCATTTGATAATACATAGAATATGTGTAATCAACTACTTTAATTTTTTTTTTATTTTAGTAATATATTATACTAAGGTGAATTAATTTTTATAGATTTAAAAAAACAACATTAATTTTTAAGAATATTCAATTTGATGATAGGTAAATGAGTTGTAGCAGATTCATTTTTTTGTAAAATACAATTAGAATTTAAAAAATTCATGGTGTTAGAGCTATTTTTTTTTCACTACAAAATGTTATTAATTTACTATTAATACGTTCTTTAAGTGTAAAAACTGGTACGACAACTATTTATTATTTGAATACTTTAAATAAATAAAAATGGAATAAAAAATGAACAGATGACCCTACCCTATAGTAATGCAAAATTGATATTACTCTGTGTTAATTACTGTTATAATTTAGTAAAAACAGTAAATAATAAATTTATTTAACGATATTAAAACAAAACGAAAAATTAAACATATTGCAAAAATTATACAATAACATTACTGAATTTAGGTTGCGATGAATGATGAGCTTGGATCATGATTTTTTTAAAAATTATTCTTAATAATTGTTCATATTCAATGAGTTAAAATGTAAAAAAGTTAAACTAACAAGTAAGTTTTGTAAGTTTTGGGAGGGCTTAGCTCCATTCCTTAATGAACGTATACAAGTACAAATCCAGAAAATTTATTTGTAGGAGATCATTACACTATACTTGACTAGAAAATATAATTTTTTTTTCAAATTTTAAATTTGAGAAAATTTCTCCCTAAAAAAACGAGGTACGACACTCAAATGAGTATTAAAATTGTGATGTAGTAGGTTTTTGGTAAGAGGATGATTTTCCTAATGTTAAAACCCCTAATTAACAGTTTTCTATCCGTGTTTAGCTAAAATAGCTCATTATTCTATATTGCCTATGATAAATTATTATTTTAGGTAAAAAATCATCTAACAGGTTTTGGTATTATCCACCTATTTAAAAATTCTGGATGCGCTATTGGTAATTATAAATAACAGTGGTATAGCCAAGATTTTTAATAAATCATAGCAATAACAAGTATTTTAAATATATAATTACACCTCATTTAAATAAAAAATTTAATTATTAAAAATATCATATCAACAGCATAGTGAAAAAAAGAGTTAAGTGTTTTTGGTCAAAATTGAGTTAATTATATAATTACAAGTCACTAGATTGTATTAAAAAAGTTGTAATTCATGTTATGCATTTGAAATAATTTCGACAAAAAAAAAAATGCACTTAATTCTTTTTTGCACAAAACCATCAATTTGTGAAATTGATCTAAAAATTTTATAAATAATTAATAATTGACTCAGGTAGGAAACATTTAATTATCTATCAAGGTAGTCAATTATAATGAACATCAAACTGCCAACTGTCTAATAACATTTTATAAAAAATAAAATATAATTAGATTGCTCATATTATAATATCCACGCATTTTAAATGAGTTAACTTAAGTTTTCAAAAAATTCTGAATTATACTTATAACTTTTAAGAATAATTTCTTTAAAAAGGATTTATTAAGCAACCCTAAAAATAAAATAGAATAAGGGAAATAAATGGTCATTTATAAAAGACAATGTGAAAGCTGTGATACGTGTTATATTGGCTAAACTAAAGAAAAAGAGGGAGTTAGATTTAAAGAACATTTAAGAAATATTAAACTTTAATTTTTCAAAAACATTATTTTATAATGATGTTTAAAGTATACCGAGAAATACTTTATGATGAACATACGAAAATATCTTAAAATAAAGAGCAAATCCTTGAAGAAAGATAGAACCGACTTAAAAACTCAATTAACTTATCAACTAAAGCATTTTAAAAAGAAAACGACATCCAACAGTAAAAATGTAATGTTTAATGGTTGGTACAGGGAAGCTATAGAAAGAAGCGCAGGAAAAAAATTTGAAATGATATAAGATCCAAATTCTGATAATATATCGGTACTCAACAACTTAAGACAAAAATGCATGGACATATTAATGATATGCATAATGGAATTAAATTAGGATAGCTACTATAGAAAAGGTTATTATGACTCGGGCAAGTTGTTTAAGTTAAACTTTCTCTTTAAACGATCAAAAAAGGTCTGTATCATACGCATTGAAACATAGTTGTCTAGTACATGTGATGAAGAAAAAATGGCTTGTCTTTAAAGAAGAGAATTGAGAAGGATTTATAGACCTATTTTAAAAAATGAATTGCAGAAGAAAAATGAATGGAGAATTGTAACAAATTTATTAAAAACCTTGAACCAATGCACTATGACAGCATATTTTAAGGAATTTTGACTGAGTTGAAGTAATAGAAGATTATTTACGATGTGAATTCGTATTAAACTCCTAAAGAAACAGACATGTAGCCACCAGAGGGTGAAATACATCCTATATATTCCAATGTGCGCTATTCCTGAGAATTTAGCAAAATCATTATTAGGACTAGCGAAAGAGTACACAGATTTGTAGTTTTATCATTTAATAAAATTTCTTTACTTAAAGTTTAAATTAATGTTTAAAAAAAAAGATGATAAACTGTTTTGAAATTGAACGTTATCACTCTTATAATACTTACATTAAAAGAAGTACCACGAGAGGTCCTTTTGGAGCCACAAATTAATATTATTTTGCCAGTAAAAAAGGCACAACTATTAACCAAAGGTGGCAGTTTTCACTAAGTGACACTTATGCCATGTATGTTATATGTTAAAACGCTCTGTGTTATGAGTAATCAAATCTAGTGAGTATGCCATGTCTCAGAGTCCTTAAAGGACTGTAAAAGCGAAAAAAAAAAGTAAATACTGTAGATAGTAATGTAACGTTACTATTCAGTATCTTCAAAATTGGTCATATTTTCCGAAAGTTGTATGATTTTTGGAGTAATTATTTGATGTTCCTAGAAATTAAGTTTTCGGATATTTTTTATTTTTCATCTTATAATACATTGAGTAAACTTTAATTTAAAAAAGATATAAAAAAAAACTGATGAAATAATGTAACTCTCTCCTAGTATTTTGGATTATGTTTGGATTTTCAAAAAATATGTCTTCGGCTTGGCAATGTCTAAAATATTTTTAATGGAAATTTCTTAATGATCTGATTTGGTTTTTAAAAGTTGTTTTAACATAAAATGAAAACTCAAAATATTAATATCGACTGATTTGTAACAATCGCAATTTTTTGGATTATTATGATTTTAATAGTTATTATAATAATTAAAGGGAATTTTTCAAAATATTAGCGTTGATAGCTTCAACTAGTTACGACTTTAAATCTTTTGACG